TCGATGTGAACTCGCCGTGCTTGTTTTCGTGCAGCGTTGCTGTTGGCTGCCCATGCTCTGACTGTGTGATTGACGTCCCCGGGGCCAAGTGAAGGCCCTGGGAAACCGAAGCCTGCAAAACGGAAGGGGTCGATATGGGGGGGAACCGGCCAGGGGAGAAACATCGAGCTGGAATCGGGGATGCGTCGCCATTAAGCTGCCGATAAACACCGACCGCAAAACCGCACGTTCCTGGGCGGGGCGTGCTATCGGGCCCCCATCGGCGATGTCTGGGCGACTGGGGGTCGATGCGTTCCCCCCTGAACCAATCTCCCCGTAACGTTGTTCCTGAAATACCCTCCATTCGCGGTGTTGTACGAAGTCCGGGTGCCCAGGGGTTGGCCTCACGACGAGCGACAACCTGCGCGACCGGCAACGCCCAGACCTCGAGACGGCTGGATCGCGTGAGCGATGGAAACTGTCCTGGCTGCGGTCAAGGTGGACCAGGAGGAGGAAGGGGAGGAGGAGCAGGATGAGGAAGAGTAGGCGGAGGGCGAGGAGGAGGAAAAGGAGCAGGAGGAGGAGGAGGAGGAGGAGGAGGAGGAGGAGGAGGAGGAGGGTCATTTCCTCTTGACATCCGCGGCCGAACGATGTATTTTGCGCGGGGGCGGGCGAGGCAGCGGGCTCCAGCAGAGTTGCGGGTGCCAGCGTCGAAACCGCGGCGAGGCCAGCACCAGCCGAGACGAGCAAAATTTAAACCAGAATCCCACTCACGCTGGTAGGACAGGCCATTACATTACGCCGCACGCTCAAACCCTGAATATTACACGGGGCGAAGGTAAAGGACGATTCCAGAAATCTGGTGGAGTCTGGAGGTCTGGGGGGATATTGGGCAGAAGCGGCAGCCGAGACAACCTTTACGGGGTAAGGGGTAACTCCGTTTTCGTCCACAGCGTGTTAGATCCAGGAGCACACCCAGGCAGGGGAACGAGAGGGTTGTGTGCGCGTGTACATATTAGGGCACAAGTGCGGCACGGTTTGTTCAGCGACGGTGATTGCGGAGCGTTCCAACAAAAAACGATGGAGCCAACTTTATTCCAGGGGGTAGTTACCGTATTCACCGATATCTGCTTGATTGAAAATAATGAAGGTGGTGTGCTTCGGGAGCCGGTCCAGAGGCTCCATGGACCATGCCTTGGGCGCGCGTGGGTTCTCCAACAAATACGCGGCAGTCGACGGCAAGGGCGGCATGAACAATCTTCATGCCGGCCTTGCCAGCGCTGCCTGGGCGAGGCCTGGCGAGCTCAACGCCCGAATGACCTGGAACGCCCCAGGGATGTCGTGAGGACCCGAGAGGCTTCCGAAATTCACTGCCGAACGCTGCGCACGGGGTGCCCAGCCCGGGCCCGGCAACGGCCCAGGACCGAATCCAGCCAATCAAAGCCTCCAAAACACATGGCCTGGTGACCTCCTCCTTCTCCTCCCTCTCCTCCTCCTCCTCCTCCCCGCCTCCTCCTCCTCCTTTCCTCCTCCTCCTCCTCCTTTCCTCCTTCTCCCTTCCTCCTCCCTCCTCCTCCTCCTCCTCCTCCTCCTCCTCCTCCTCCTCCTCCGCCTCCTCCTCCTCCTCCTCCTCCTCCTCCTCCTCCTTGGACGTCGAACAAGATGGCCCCGTGCCCGAGCCCCCGAAGAGCTTCCGGAAGGCGGTCGTACCCCGAGGAGATGTCCAGGAAGACGCGACGATTGAACTTGGCGGCTTGACGCCGCCCATGCTGGAACAGATCGTGGAAGTAACCGATAGCCACAGCGCCTTCGGCGACGCTTGGGGGGCTGGGCGGCGGCGCTGGGCCCTGTGTCCGCGCCGTGGCTGGTCTCCTCCAAGCTGCCCCCGATGCCCGGCGGGATCCTGTTCCAGCCGCGAAGCCAAGACTGGAGGGCAAGCGAGAAGTTGCCCTGAACCAGATGGCCGAAGGCGTGCTCGGCAAGCGACAACTTCGCCATCTCCATGAAGACGCGTCTCCTCGCCGTGCCTGCGCAGGCTGCGCTGGTCTCGCCACTGACCGCGCCGCTCGACCTCGGCGAGCGCGCGCCTCTTGGCGGAGAGGTCGACCGATGCGTTCCCGCGCCGGAGGCTGCGCGAACACGGTTCGCGCAGCTCTGGGCCAGACAGCCGCGCGCCCGTTGAACTCTTTGCGCGGCAAAGCGGACGCGACGTCCTACAGGCAGGCCTCGCTAGCCGTGGCCGCCATCGCCGCTGCCAGAAAGTCCTGCAACTAGAACCCGGGCCCGCCCCGCTCGCTAGTCCCGCCGGCCCCCCTGCGCGAGTCGTTAAGCCGGGCGCCCCAGTGAGCGCGAAGGGCCGGCCGACGGGCAGGGGGCCTCGGGCGGGCGGGCAGGAGACGGGATGCGCCCGCTGGGCGCAGGTTGGCGACGCGCGCCAGGGCGACCCAGATGGCTGCCCGAAGCCCCTGGAAACTCAGCGCCCCAGCGATGGCGAGCGCCGCCATCTCGGGCAGGGCGCTGGACGCAAGGGGCTCTCCTCTTCCGCGACGCCCATGCCTTCGACGACCTTGGCAACTGCACCTTCGGCGCCACGTGCAGCTCCAGCGCCGCTCGCGCCAGGGCCGCGAGGAGCCTGCTTCCCCCGTCGGGGAGGTGGCCGTCCAGGTAGAGCCCGCCCCGCCGCGGTGGACCAGTCCTGGCCCGAGCGGCTGCAGTAGACAACGAAGCCCCAGAGGAGCTATTTGCAGGCCTTCTCCCACCCCCCCGACCGCCGCGAGACCCAGCAGGGTGGGCCTGCCCGTCGGCGGACTAGCCGCGTGCAGGGGGGCCTGCCGAGGCCGTCCGAAAACCTTGCGCGGCGGTCAGGGCAGGCCGTTACCGCGCCAAAGGATGCGCTGCGATGCCGGGCATGGCAAGCACTGGGGCGGCCGCGGCACGGCGCCGCGAACCGCCCGCTGCGGCCGCAGAAAACCCCATCGGCAGGGCTGAACTCGACGGGGGGCCATCGAAAGCGAGGCTTGGTCCCCGCGGCTGGAGACAGAAAGGCAACTCGACGCGAGAGCCGACGCAGGTGCTAAGGCCCCCATTTGGCACCCCTCAACGCACAAAGGCGAATTGTCGACCGGGATGAATGCGCGGGGGCTCTAGGCCCCAAACGCCCGAAGCACGCGTCTGTCGGCTAGCGCCAGGCCACCCCCCCCGAGCGCGAGAACATTCGCGGGCTCGATGACCTGCGAGGAAAGCGCGACTTCAGAAGCCCCCTTGTCCAGGATGGCCCTTGCATCTCGTCGACAAGTATGGCAGCGGCAGCGGACGGGCCGCCGGGGCTCTCGAGCGCCTCCAGAGGACCCCCAGCCCCAGCCGATAAAAGACGCGGCGCAAAGGTGAGCGAAGAGGATGGCCGATCCATGGGGCCTACTCCCAGAGCGAGCTGACGAGCCCGCGCCCCTCCCCATCCCCCTTTCCACCTGGCGCCCCCATCTCTCGTTGCGTCGGCCAATTTCCCCATCGAGCTCGGGTTCCAGACCGCGGCGCCGAAGTGGAAGCGTCGGAGCGCGCCGCCGCAGGGCGCCGGCTCGCGGACAGACTGCATCGCAGACGCGGGACGAGGCCTCGGGTCACCCAAAGCTCGCGCGACACTTGGGGCCGCGCATCGGCGACCTCGACGGGGTGGGCGATGATGAAAACACAGCGGGCGTCCAAGGTCACTGGGGGCTCTCCCTTCTGCAGGCAGGCCCAAGTAATGTGGCCCGCGACGACCTCCAACGTAGTCCCACTGCAGCTCGGACGGGGAACCCACTACCGATGGATCCATGCCCAAGAGGGAACAATCGGCGAGCCCCATCCTGGAGCAGCGCCAGCCTGTGCGCTTTCTCAGCGCGCGTCCGGTCGTGGCCGACCGAGGAACATCACCGGCGCGAGCTGCACGGCCAACCTGCCGAGGCCCCTCGAGGCGCGCGCCTGCCGGGCCGTCCCTGGCGGGGAAAACCCCTGAAAGTCCCGCCTTGGGGCCACTCTGCCCGGGGGGCCCCTGGCGCGAGCGCGCGGCCCAGTGCCCGCCCACGGGGGGGGGCGGCACGGAGGGGCAGGAGCGGGTAGCCAGGCGGAATCGCGGACCCTTCCAGGGGGAAAACCTTCGCCGACGTTGGATGACGGGGCACGAAAAAGACTGGCCCGCGCCAAGAAATACCCCCAAAAGATGAGGTGGGCAATCCGGGCCACACAATGCGATATTCACATGTCTTCCGGGGGTCTCCAACGGCGAGGAGGCGCTTGAGGTCGGCCCCCAGGCGCTCGAAGGAGATTTGAGATGCGCGCCGACGAACCCTGCGTTGACAATGATGCGCCAACGACAATGTTTCCTTGCCGCGGGAAGAAAATGCCCCAACTTCCCCCGGTGCCCGGCTGCCGCCTCCTACCCGGGCATTCCACATTGAAGAGGGCCGAGAGGGAAAACTGGCGCGCGTGGAGGCCGCCGCTGCACGAGGACACAATCAGCAAAGACAGCGCGCGGACAGGTCTCTCGCTATGGGACACTGGCCTCCTGCTCCGGCCTCACCGTAGAGTAGCGCTGGCCGCCGAGCCGCGCGCGCCCGGTCCGTCTGGGGGCCTCGGCCGAGCCCAGACAAGGAGGGTGCGCCGCTGGATCTCCCAAAGGGGGGGGGGGTTAGGACCCCCCCCCCTCCCTTCCCCGACCCGTCGTCGGGCACCCCCCCCCCCCCCCCCCCTTCCCCGATCCGTCGTCGGGAACCCCCCCCCCCCTTCCCCCCTTTCCACGACCCGTCGTCGGGGACCCCCCCCCCCCCCCCCCCCTCCCTCCCTTTTCAAAGGGGGAGGGGGGGGGGGGGGGGGGTCCGACCCCTCCCCCCCCTCCTCCCCCCCCCTTCGCCACGCCGCCCCCTGAAGCCGGAACCCGACCCCCACCACCCCTACCCTTAGTCCTCACCCGAACCCAAACCCCGAATCCGAACCCCAACCACTAACCCCAGCCCCAAAGGGATTCACGAAGGGCCCACTACCCCCTAACCACTAACCCCAGGCCATTACCCACTACCCCCTACTCACTACTCGCTATTCGCTACTCACGACTCACTACTCACTATCTACTACTCACTACCCACCACCCACTACTCGCTACTCACTACTCCCTACTCAGTACTCCCTCGTCCCTACTCAGAACTCACTCCTCACCACCCACTACTCAATACTCACTACTCACTAAGCACTACTCACTACACCCTATTCACTACTCAATAATCACTACTCATTACCCACTACCCACTATCCATTACTCACTACTCACTACAAACTACTCCTTGCCCACAAATCACTACTCACTACCCACTACTCGCTACTCCCAACGCCCTACACAATACTAACTACACAGTACTGAGTACTCGCTACTCGCTACTCCCATACCTACTACTCACTACTTACTCCCCGCTACTCACTATTCACTACTCACTACTTACTACTCCCTACTCACTAGTCACTACATAGTCTCTAGTCACTAGTCACAACTCACTAGTCCCTAGTCACTACTCAGTACCCACTACTGACCAATCGCTACTCACTACTCTCTATTCGCTACCCACTTCTTACTACTGACTGCTCACTACTCCCTACTCCCTACTCCCTACTCAGCACACACTACCCACTACTCACTACTCGCTACTCCCTACTCGTTACTCACTAATCACTACCCACTACTCACTACTGACTACACTCTACTCACTACTCACTAGTCACCACATAGTCTCTAGTCACTAGTCACAACTCACTAGTCACTAGTCACTACTCACTACCCACTACTGATCAATCGCTACTCACTACTTACTATTCGCTACCCACTTCTTACTACTCACTGCTCACTATTCCCTACTCCCTACTCAGCACTCACTACTCACTACTCGCTACTCCCTACTCGTTACTCACTAATCACAACCCACTACTCACTACTGACTACACTCTACTCACTACTCACGACTCATTACTCGCTACTCACTGCTCACTACCCACTGCCACCACCCATTACTTTCTATTCGCTATTCATCACTACTCACAACTCACTAATCACTACGCACTACGTACTACTCAGTACTCACTACCCACTACTCACTACTCACTACTCACTACTCACTACTCACTACTCACTACTCACTACTCATTACTCACTACTCACTACTCACTACTCACTACTCACTACTCGCTACTCACTACTCACTACTCACTACTCACTATTCACTACTCACTACTCACTACGCACTGCGCACCACGCACCACCCACTACTCACTACTCACTAATCACTACTCGCCACCCATTACTCACTACCCACTACTCACTACCCAGTACCCATTACTCCCTACTCCCTACTCAGTACTCACTACTCGCTACTCGCTACTCACTACTCACAACTCACTACTCGCCACTCACTACTCACTTATCAGTACACACTAATTACTCACAAGTTTCGACTCACTACTAATCACTCCCTACTCCCTACTCCCTACTCGCCACTCCCTATCCACTACTCATACTCACTACTCACTACTACTCACTACCCAATATTCACTACTCACTACGCACTAACTCACTACTCACTACTCACCACTCCCTACTCCCAACTCAGCACTCCCTACACGAGGGGGAGGGGGGTGCGACCCCCCCCCCTTTCCAGCGCCAAGGGGTGGGGGGAGGGGGAGGGGTCCGGACCCCCCCCCCGGGGGGAGGAGGGGGGGCGGTCCGGACCCCCCCCCCCTTAAAGGAGGAAGGGGGGGGGGGGTTCTGGAACCCCCCTCCCCCCCCTTTAGTGTATTCAGGGAGTTCCACTGGCGCACTTTCCCAGACAAGGACGCGAGATCCTCGACAAACTGGCGGCGGGGCCCCTTGTCAGAGGAGTAGATCGAGGACCCGGCAAGGAGCTCGCTGAGGGCTTCTTTGCCAGACGCGGGACCACTGGGAAGGGGTCCAACCTGGACGCGCCGATCTGCAATGCGCGCCAGAGCCTGGGCCTGGCAAGGGGGGGGACAGGCGAGGGGCAAGAGGGGGCTCCAGGAGTGCCAACGTCGGGCGGGCGATCAACAAACGAAACGGGGGGGCCTGTCAAGACAGCCGAACAGCTGAAAAAACGAACATTCAAGCTGTGGATGGCGTTGTCCGCGAAATCGAAGGGCGCCTGAGCCGCGCGGCGACTGCAGACCGAGCTGCGGACCTCATGCCCCGCGAGCGCAGCCCACGGCCGTCGAGAGACAGATGGGAAAGGAAACGTGCCCCGCTAATGGGCGGGCTGGAAAGGGGGCCAGGTGGCGACAGCGGCGTCCCGGAACCCACCGTCGGCGTTGTCAGCCTTGTCGGTGCCAGCGCACTTGGATTCGTGAGGATCATTGGGCCCGCCTTTCGGTCTGGCGATTGTGCGCTCTTCCTGGTCATTCTGGCGCCACTTCATCAGCGCGCATTCCTCGCCCTGCAGTTCAAGTCTGATCCACTCTTGGAGGAAGGGGCACACGCAGCAGCTCCCCCTCACCATGTGGGTACAGCATATACGCGGCTGAGGTGGTTTCGTTGTTGCGGTTGCAACCCAGCCGGCCCTTATTACTCGGCCAGCTACTTGCAGCGGGCGGCGAGCTCCGCCGCGGAGGCATCTAGCACGCTCACCTGGTCGTAGCTTGCTCGCGTCTCCAGTCGGCGGCTTGCATGCTCGTGACCTTCCACCCCGCACTCAGGCGACACTCGGAGCGCCATCGGCGAGCCGCGGCTGGCCAACTGGGAGCGGTAGACCCACCACGCCGTTCTCGGGCCCCTGACGGGCCAGTCGGGGTAATTACCATTCACCACGTCCATGAAGTCCTTGCGGCGCTGTTGGAGCGCGTCCGTGGTGACGGCCGGGACCGTCGCGTCGCCGGGCGACCGTGCGGGGAGACCAGCTGCGCCGCGCCAAAGCCAGGCGCCGGCGGCTCGGCCGCGGGCGCTGCGGGCGCTGCGGGGGACGACGGCGCCAGTGCCAAGGGCGGCAGGCCGCTGGCAGGGGCCGCGGCCGCCGGCACCAGGGCCGCCGCCTCCAGCCGCCGGGACAGTGCAAGCCCCAGGCGCCAGAGCCCCCGCGGGGCCAGGGCCTCAGCCAGGCCCGCACAGCGCTGCCACCACGCCTGCGAGGCCGCCTCCTGAGGCAGCGGCGCGCCTGGGGCAGGGGTGCCCAGCCGGGCGGCATCCGCGTCGCGGAAAGCCCCGGTCGCCGCCGGGAGGGGACCCCTCCACGGAAATGGTATACGCGGTCCCCCGCCGTGAAAGCCGCCCCCCCGCCGCCGATGATGCCGTTGGGGGGGTGGGCGACCCCGCCGCAGCGAGTCGCTTCCAGGGGCGAGGTCCTCTTCGTACGAGTCCCAGTCGGGAGCGAGCGCGGTGACGATCGTTGTGCCGCCAGGCAGCAAGTGCATGATCACGCGTTCGTGCCATATTCTTTTCCCGGCGACGTTGTAGAGCAATGCGATGACGTCGCCTTCCGCCAGGCCGTGGCTGCCAACAAGGAGGGCGTGGGGCGCCGCCACGGACGCCGTGCCCACCTTCAGCAGCCATCGCCAGCTGCTACCGACCCTCGTCCGCCAGCAGGTCCTCAGACAACGACGATACGACGCGGGCCGCCGGCGCCACGCAGGGCCCGCGCGTCCAGGAAAACCGCGGCCGCGCCAGCCCCAACCCAACCAGTAGGCCCCGCCGAAGAGGCCGACCACCAGGAGGCTTGTGATTATCAGGTCGTCGAATGGCACCGACCCCGGCACGCTGACCACGCTGACCACGCTGACGGCGGGTCGAGGTGGCAGTCGGGACGGATGGGGCAGCTGAGCAGATCGAGAAGCTCCACGGTGGGCAGGGCGCCGACGAGGCCCGCAACACCAGCCCCGTGGACAACCACCGAGCCAGCGCGGCCGCGGCCGCGCGAACCGCGGCTTTCATGACCGACCCCTGGCCTCGAGGTCTGAGCGGTGCCAGCTCGAGCGGCTATGGCGGCAGGAGCCGTGCGGCCGCTCCCTTCTCGCTCGCTGCTTCCTGTTCTGAAAACTGCTCAAGAGGAGGAGGAGAAGGAGGAGGAGGAGGAGGAGGAGGAGGAGGCGGAGGCGGAGCAGGAGGAGGAGGAGCAGGAGGAGGAGGACAAGGGCTGCCACTGTAGAGTGTTCCAGAAGGAGTTGGAGGGGAGGGCGTTCTCTCAACTCGGAGCAGGAGGAGGGCTGCCACCGCGTGGACATGACCCCTTTCGAGTGCGGCCCAGGCCGCCGCGCCACGCAGCCCCCTCCCAAGCCTCCCCTGTCCGAAGGACCCCGTCGTCCATGCCGTGCCTTCGCCCCACCCCTTCTTCTCCCTGCGCTGGGACGCAGAAGGACATGCTGGTGCCATGCGTCCCCCTGGTAGGCGCACGCCCGCACCGCGCGCGCACAGTGCACCCACAGCAGAATGGGTGGGCCGAAGGGTCATTCCCTGTCCGTGGGTGCGTGGCTGGAGTGAACTTCCGCGCTGCGGGTTGTTTTGGTTGTTGCTGCTACTGCTGCTGTTGGTAGTGTTGGTGCTGTTGGTGCTGTTGGTGCTGTTGGTGCTGTTGCTGCTGTTGCTGCTGGTGGTGGCGTTGCGCTGCGTTGTGTTGCGTTGCCTTGCGATGTTGTCGTCGCCCCTCTCGTGACCCGGCCCGCGACCCGTCCGCGACCCGCCTGCCGACACCCCCGCGACCCACCCGCGAGCCGCCCCGCGCCCGCCCCCTTCCCTCTCGTCCGCAGCTGCGGGGCGCTACGGCTTTATGACTGCTCGCTGCTCGAGCGGCATCGCCAGGAAGCGGCGGCCACCGAGCCCACGCGGTCTGGTCGCGGAGCGCGCGCACCGCCTGTGCGGGGCCCGCGCGAACACACTAAGAGCGAGCCATGTTCGGGTGATGCCGATACACCCGTAGCCATTTTCCTCCTCCTCCCCCGGCGTCGGCCGAGGTCGGGGGCGCCGAGGGGGTCCCAGGAGGTCACCAGACAGACCCGCAGCATCGAGCATCCAGGAGGGGCACCCTGAGATCCGACGTCGCCAAACAACAGGACATCATGCGAGCTCGCATCCAGAGCTAAGAACCCTGAAGCTCATCTTCCTGCAGCCTTTCGCAATCCTGATCGATGTGTGAAGGCCCTGGGTCCCGAAACCGGGAGAGAACGTGCGGTGTAAAAGAGCTGCGACGTCTGGATCTCAGGGAAAGCATGCCGTGCACGCGCAAGGAGTGGCCCTGAGCAAGGGCGACCTCGAGGGAAGCCGTGGAGGGGCCGAGCCCAAGCGCGCAGGCCAGTGCTTGGGGGGGGCCCCTGCCTGTGGGCCCGAACCGAAAGTCAACCCGGCGAAGGGTCGCTCGTGCGCGTAGCCGGAGGGTCTGGGTGGACGAAATCCTAGAGATCCAACGCAGTGGCAAAAATCACGACGGAGGTTTTTCGCAGTTTTCGGCCTCTGGCCCTTAGCCGACCTCGGGACCGTCAAAAACTACTCAGGATGAAAAACCGGCCCGTGGAAATGGGTCGAGACTTCCGGGGACCCCGTACTAAACAAAAATCACGACATCGGATCTCTGGGTGCGCGTAGCCGGAGGGTCTGGGTGGACGAGAAGCGGGCGGTGGGCGAATCAGCTGCGCGCACCTGTGGCTCCTGGTCCCCCCCGCCCGTGCGCTGGAGGCGGCCACGCATCGAGGAGAAGGGGCCTTGCGGCGGAGCCGGCGCCAGCTGCACGCAAAAGCCGTCGCAGAACCAACGGTTTGGCAGTGCCTTCGGCCGGTGGGTCGTCGGGGGGGCGGATGTCCACCAGAGTGAATCGCTCGGACGGGCGTGGTCTGTCGGGATGTCGGGCAGCGAGCCAAACCCCAGGCAGGGGGTTGGACCAGAAAACAAACGACACTTCACTACCCACGGCTCCACTGGGCTTATAGCGTACACCGAGCGATCTGGCGTGGGGCTTTTGCGTGGCATGCGCTGCGGCGCCCGATTGGCCGTGGCGCAGCATGGAGGGCCGCAGGTGGGGTGCCGTCGTTTGCTTCCTGGTCGAGGGGTGGGCGCGGGGGGGGGTCGGGGCTGAGGGCTCCTAGAGGGGGCTGCGGAACGCGTAAGCGAGATCGCTGGCGTCAGGCACGCGAGGCGGGGACGCATCCAGAGACACCGCCTGGCTGGGAAGCTGGGCGAGAGCTGGCAACTCCGTGGCTGCTAAAACGGTTTTCCCGGAAGGAAAAAAAACATCCCGGAATCAAGCTCAACGCACTAACTGGTAAACGAGCTGCTTCCCGAAGGGAACAAAAAACAAGTTCCCGGAACTCCGTTTTGCCAGCTGTAGCCAGGCTTCTGACTGGCGGTGGATGTACATTTAGATCAGGCATGTCCCCTTATAGGCGTAGTTTGGACGACAAACGGAAAAAACATAAAAAATACCCAACAGTCATTATGAACAAACTAGAAAAATCGTCCCCTAACTATTTTTGACTATCTGTGAATATTCCTCCTGCAGAGGGGCATGCCCGACTTAAATGTAAATAGATGCTGCCCCCATGACACGAAGATGGCCATGTCCACTGCCTGCCGAGGTCCCCAGAGATCGAATTCCCCGGGCGGCGGTTACGGACAGAGCCCGTTTCGGAAGGCAGGACTTCATGCATGCGCACACAAGCAAGCAACACTGATGTTAGATGTAGCGAAAGCAGTGGGCTGCAGCACGTTCGTGCTGACAGCAGGGGCGGGGCCTGATGCTGCGATGCGGGCTGACGCTCCTGGTTGTAGAATCACCCGACGAAAGTTGACGCCTGGATGGGCAACAAAGCAGAGTCAGAGCAGGCAGCGGATTGCTCTCGCTGTGCCTGTGTTGCTGTTCCCCTGCGGTCCTTCTCCTGTGTCTGCTGCAGCTGCTCACGTGCTTACTGCCGCTCCACGTCCGAGAGGGAGCGCGCTTCACGGGCGCCTGGCTTGAAAACTAAGCAGAAAGCCCCTCCCAAACCAACTGACCTCGTCCACCACCCCGTCCGGAAAAAAACTGAGTCCCCCACCCGAGTCCCGGGGGACCCCCGCCTTCAACCCTACAGTCGACCCGTATCTCAAGGATGCGCAGGATGCAACGGCCTTGGACGCCCATTCCGAAGCCTTTCGAGCGCGGCGCGGCCAACGAAAGTGGCCAAGGATGGACCGAGGAGGCAAGGATGCAAGGGTACCCTTGGGAGGGTTGCCCATCCTTACCGTGCGGTTTTGAAGGGGCCCCAGGACACACAAATAAACACACACACACACACAAATAAAGATATTTCCCATATTTTCCCATATTTTCTGGGTTTTCTGTCTTCCCCCCCACCTCCCATATTTTCACATATTTTCTGGGAATCGACGATTAGTTGTGTCTGTGTGTTTTTGTTCCCTCCTTAGGTTTGACTGTATCCTCCCTGTCCTTTGCGCGCCCCTCCCCCCCCGGGCCGGGAGGCGTTGACATGCGAGGCCCGGGGGCCCCCCCCGCCCCCCGCGCCCAGGTGCAGGGATTGGGTAGGGACCAGACCGCCCCCCCCGCCTCCTTCGCGCTGGCAAACGACGCCGAGGACGGGCGACATCAGCGGGATGTGGGGGGTTCTGGACGACGACGACGACGGACGGCGACGACGAACGACGACGACGGACAACGACGAGGACGACCACGACGGACAACGACGACAACCGACCACCGACAACGGACTGACGACGACCGACAAACGACGACAACGACGACGACGCCGACGCCGACACTGACGCCGATGCCGGCCGACGCCGACTACGACGACCGACGGACGACGGTTGACGGACGACGACGACGACGACGCCGACGACGACTGCGACGACCGACAATGAATGCGACGACTGACGACGACGACAACGACAAAACCGGCGACGACGATAACCATGACCGACAACCGACAACCGAGGACGAGGATGAGGAAGATGACGACGACACATGCGACGACTGACGGCAACAACGACAGCTACAACCGACGACGACGAACTCAGCGACGACTGACGACGACGACGGACAACAAATACTGACAACCAATGACGACGAGAACCAACAACCGACAAACGACAACCGAAGACGAGAACGACCAAGTCGACGATGACGGCCACGACAGCAACGACGACGACGACGACGACGACAACGACGACGACGACGAATGCGACGTCTGACGTCGACGACAGAAAACAACGAAAAAACAACAAACAACCGACGACCAACGTCGACGACGACATCGACGACGATGACTGTGACGACGACGATAATTGCGACGACGACGAATGCGACGACGAACGACCAAGACGGAAAACGACGACGGTGACGATAACTGTGACGACGACGATGAGTGCGACAACGCCGGATGCGAAGACTGACTACGACGACGTCGGAAGATGCTGACGACAACGGACAAAGGACGACGGACGCCGACGGCGACGCCGACGACGAAGACGACAACTGACGACGACGAACGACGAACGACGGACGACGACGACGACGACGACGACGACGACGACGACGACGGCAACAGCGACGATTGCGACGACAGTCGACGATGAAGTGGGCGAGACGTGAAGGCGGTGATTCGAGCCAGCGGACCCTAACGGGCAGGCAGCGCGGAGGGGCCATAACGGTATCGGGCTGGGCGTGGAAGCCATACGGACGGGCGGGTGGGGCGGGCGGGACACTACAGCCGGCCCGTATCAGAAGGATGCGCGATGAAGATGCAAACAGGCCCTTGGACGCCCAGGTTGAAGCTGTTCGAGCGGGGCGCGGTCCACGGAAGCGGCGAAGGCTGGGCCGAGGAGGCAAGGATGCCGAGGGGCACCCTGGCCACGGATGCAAGGGTCGACTGCAGAGGGGACGCGCCGGCGAGCGGGAAGACCCTGACGGGCGGGCCGGGCGGGCCCGAACCGGGGGGGGCACGGGCAGGCAGGACGTCCCAGCGGCGGGCAGGCTGTCGTGCAGGCGGGCGGGCGGGCCCTCACGGGCGGGTCGGGCGGGCGCGACGCCGAAGGGGGCGGGCTCGGCCCAAGGGGGCACCCACAGGCCCCCCAAGACAGCCCTGAGGGGCCCCCAAACGCGTCTGGAAGCCACGCGTGCCAAGGCGGCTCCCGACTGCGAGCAAGCCACGTGTCACCTCCGCTTGACCTATAAGACAGGATCCACCGACGGATCGCTAGACAAAACTTGGCACTACTTCCCGACGTCTCAACTGTAACGTGCCGACGTGCGGTGGCCGAAATGCGAATCCAACTCTGACACCAACGCCCGCCCTGAATCATGGTTCTCGCGTTGACGCTGGTGTCGCGCCGTGTGCAACGCGGAAGGACTACTTTGTTGCGCGCGCTTGACCGGCGCGCGCACGCGCGCCTCGCGCTTCGCCCGAAACGGGGGGCGCGCGATGGCATCGGCGAGCGCGCGCATCTCCAGCGCGCGCCCATCCCGCCGCCCGCCATGCGCGCCGCGCGCGCGAGAGCATCGGTGCGCACGCAGAATCCCAGCGCGGGTGCGAGCCTTCCGGGCGCGCGGAACGCGCGACGACAACTCGCTCGACCAAACCACGTGGCAAAGTTTACCCGTAGTCTCGCACGCCGTTTCCAGATAGCGCAGCGGACCGTTTCGCGCACTCCGCCACCCCATGTTGCATCATCGTTGGCACTCGCTGGTGTTGAGAAGGGCCGTGGGTGAGAGAGTGAAGCCAATGGGATGGATGACCGTCAAGGCGAAGCGACGAATGATCAGCCCACGCAACCACCAAGAATTGCAACATTGGAGTCCCGCTGAAACCCTCGTGGCGCCACCTTGGAGCTCCCTTGGGGGTACTTCTCTCATACGTTTTGGGTACAGTGGAGACCCATGCCTAGAAACACCCTGCCTGCCTCCAGGCTGCCCTGGGCTTCTTGGGTCTCGGTGGTTCTGCCGTGGAAGGTGCGACGCTCCCACAGCACGTCCTGGGGTCTCAGCGTTGGGTTTCTCGCGGAGGGTCTCTTGTGGTCGAGCCTCCACTGTGCTCGGAGCGCTCTGGCAGCCCTTTGGGTGCCCTCGTGGGGCTATCTCCTGCCCATCGCTCGGACGTCCATTTCCTGTGTTTTTTTTCGGTTTCGTGCGCGGTTTTTCGCCACATGATCAAGAATGCTCCTCGATGGTCCTCGACGAAGGAAAAATGCACACGTCCGAGCGACGCCAAGTCTCTGAGGCAATTTTGTTTGTACGCGTCCTTGGAGGCCATCGGCCGTCGCCCCCCCCCCCGCTGGACCCCGCGACATACCTTGGCGGGAGAGCCATCCAGTGGCGACCGCTGCTGCTCGCCCTCCTTCCCCCCTCCTCTCTTTTGAACTTGGACCAGCTGCGGCAGCCTGGAGCCTCCTCCCCCTCCTCTTCCTCCTCCTCCTCCTCGTCCTCCTTCTCCTCCACCTCCTCCTCCTCCCCCTCCTCCTCCTCCTCCCCCTACTCCTCCCCCTCCTCCTCCTCGACGTCCTCCTTCTCCTCCTCCTCCTCCTCGACGGCCTTCTCCTCCTCCTCCTCCTCCTCCTCCTCCTCCTCCTCCTCCCCATACTCGCCATGCTCGACCCGCTCCCGCCCCATCCGACTCCACCTGCTCCGCATCCTCCTCCTCGTCCTGCTGCTCCACATCCTCGTCGTCCTCGTCGTCGCCGTCTTCAGGGCCGGCGGCACCGGCCGTAAGGCCTTCGCGATAGTTCGCGGGAGCCCTCCAGTGACTCTCTTGGCGCGTCCTTGGGGGCATTCGGAGCGCAGACGGAAACCTTCGGGCCCGCTCTCTGGTGGCCATCTTGGGAGATACTGAAGCCGTTTTGAATCGTTGCTGGGCCCCTCTGAAAACTATCTTGGTCGATCTTGGAAGCATCATGGAGGCTATCGGCGGCGGTTCCCCCCATCTGGCACCGACAAATCGTTTGCGGGAGCTCTCTAGTGACGCTGTTTGGGCGCCCTTAGAGGCATGAGGAGGTCTGTTGGAGCCATTCGGACCCCCTGTTGGGCAATCTTGGAACCAACTTACAACGCTCCTGGGCCCATCCGGTGGCTATGTGAAAACATGTTGAGCGATATTGGAGCCAGCCACCTTGAGGCGTTCGAAAACATTGGAAGCGAAACGACGAGTAAGTCGACGCCATAGATCAACCAAAATAGGATCTGGGAGTTGGCCTCTTGGGGGCATCATTTCGTGGCGGCGAGCGCGGGGGGGAAGTGAGAAGGAGCGGGCCTTCTCAGAATGCTCGGGAGTCCCCCGGCCTTCTGAGAAGTTTTCACAGCCTCCCTCGAAGGCAGAAACAAAACTTCTCAGAAGGGGCTTCTGAGAGAAGTCCCGCCGCCTTCTGAGAAGGCCTTCTCCTTCTCGCTTCCCCCCCTCGCTCGCTCGCCCCCCGTGGCCACTTGGAGTGCCGCCTCGTGGCGGCCTTGGGTCCTCTCGAGGTGGGGGCATGTTGCTGGGGGCTATGTCCGCCAATCTGGGAAAGCCAGCTGACTGGGCTGGGCGCGTCCCGGAGGAGGAGGAGGAGGAGGAGGAGGAGGAGGAGGAGGAGGAGGAGAAGGAGGTGGATGAGGCGAAGGAAGGGGCGGAGGAGGAGGCGGAGGCGGAGGAGGAGGAGGAGGAGGAGGCGGAGGAGGAGGAGGAGAGGGGGGCGGAGGAGGCGGAGGAGGGGGAGGCGGCGGAGGAGGAGGAGGAGGAGGAGGGGCGGAGGCCCCTTAGGCAAGTCTGGCGGCCCCTCCGCGAGGCGGGCATTGCAAAGTAGGAGAAAAACGCCACATCCACCGAGAATAGGGGGCCCCGAAGAGATCCCCTATCCACCGCTTCCTGGGGTCCCAATCGGATCCACAGGCGGTGGATCTGTGCAGATCTCGAAGAAGAGAAAACGCCATAAACATAAGCTTGTGGCGCTCCGCGCGGGTTTCTTGGATCTGCACTGGGCCCCCTTCCCTGGCGCGCGGAGCGCGCCAGGGGCGGCGCCGGTGGCGCCGCCGGGGGGGGGGCGCAGGCGCCGACCCAAGACATCCGCGCGGAGCGCCAAACGTTTATGTTTATTGCGTTGTCTCTTCTTCGAGGTTTGCACAGATCCACCGCCTGGGGATCCGAGATCCTGGGACACCAGGAAGCGGTGGATAGGGATCTCTTCAGGGCCCCCTTGCCCCCAGAGCCGCTAGGATGTCGGTTCCCCAGGCGGTGTATGTGTGTACCGTCGGGCCTAGGGCAGAATAACATCCTTCAAGAGCCCGCCAAAACAGCCCAAACCATGAGATCACTCGAGCAGACTCCCTCCAGGATGCACAAGAGAACCTCCAACATAAGCACGACGAACATTAGGGCACCCTCCCAGAACCGACCTCGCTCTCGTACCTCGGCCCGACGGTAAAGCCTCAGCCTTGACCACAGAAAACGTGTCAGATCGCGCCCAAGAGACATGGGCATCTTGCGGCAGCACCGCTCCGTGGCTCTGCCTGTTACCTTCCCCGGTGGCGCCCAATGGGGCCACCACGCGCGCGGGCGCGCGAGCCAACCTGCACGAGGCACGGCCCTCGGCCCTTGGGAACCTCATGCTGAAGCTGCCGCCACGCCTTCGGGCCGTCGGGCTGGCGAGTTGGCTCTGGCTCATTCGTGTATCCATACTTTTTTTTCTTTCTCTCTCTCTCTCTCTCTTCCTCGCACCCTGCCTATGGCTCCACATCCGTACCCATCCGTACGCCGCTTCTGTTCGTGACCACCTCTGTCTCCCATGTGTGTTCGCCTCGTGTTTCACAACCGTGCCCTTGTCTGGGTTCTCGTTCTCAATACAGCCCTGTTTGCGCGAACCTTCCTCCCGTCTCCGAATTCCTGCCCCTCCTCCTCCAACCTCGCTCCTCCTCCTCGTCCTCCTCCTGCCGCGCTCCTCCTCCTCCTCCCCCTCCTCCCCCTCCTCCTCCTCCTCCTCCTCTTCCTCCTCCTCCTCCTCCTCCTCCTTTCCGTTTCCTCATAAATAACTTCGCCCTGTCGCACCCCGAGGCCAGCTTTTAGGGCGGTCTGAGCGTTTCACCGCACCATTTATGACCCTGAAGCTTACACATTGGCAACAGCTTCACAAATGGAGGGCGGGTGGCTTGCAAAGTGTGGCTCTCGCCCTGGTGCCGCGCACATTCGTTTTCAACATGTGCAAGAATTCACGCATTGACGGCAACCCGTCTTCAAAATGTGGCTCTCGGCTTCGCGCCGCGCACATTCGGTTTTAGACATGTGGGAAGAATTTCACGGCTTTCGGCTTAGCGCTGGGCACATTCGATCTTGGAAGATTGCACAAGCTTCGCGGATTGAGGACGACCCGTCTTCAAAATGTTGCTCTCGGCTTAGCGCCGCGCACATTCGTGTAAGCATTTGCAAGAATTTCACGGATTGAGGGAGGTTCCTGTTCAGTATGTGGCTCCCGCTTCAGCGCCGCGCATATTCGGTCATATGTGTTGCAAGAGTTCCACAAACTCCCATAATCAAAATACCAGAAATAGCGATCCGGAAGCATTCCGGATTTTGCGGGCGCAACAGTTAAGTTGACTCATCGTGTTGAAGTCCCAAGAATGGCGTTCTGGCACGGTTCAGGACTGTGAAACATGCAACAATCAGGTTGATCAGTGGCGTTGGAATCCCGAGATCAATGGTTTGGTATGCTCAGGGTCTTCAAACGCTTGTCTTCCAACGAGGCAGTTCCCTCAATGGAAATGAACGTTTCTAGGGGGCTTGGAGGGAGGGTTTATTCCAACATCGTGGATGACTCTTGGGTTTGCAGTGGTCATCCTCCTCATCCTTCTCCTCCTCCTCCTCCTCCTCCTCCTCCTCCTCCTCCTCCTCCTCCTCCTCCTCCTCAAGGCTCAATGGGGAGCTATGAACTGGCAAGTGTCGCCACTTTCGTGGGCTCCTGGGAGGTCCAGCGGAGTGGAGTGTCACGCAGACCTCGCCGGGACCTCGCGGCTACCTCGGGGCTGCGAGCTGCGCCACTGTCGCCACTTTCGTGGGCTCCTGGGGGGTCCAGCGGAGTGGGTGTCACGTAGACCTAGCCGAGACCTCGCGGCCCCGTGGGGGGGGTGCGAGCTGCGCCACTTTTGTGGGCTCCTGGGAGGTCCAGCGGAGTGGGTTGTCACGCAGGCCTCGCCGCGGCCTTGCCCAGCCTCTTCTGCTCAACTGTCGCCCCTTTCGTGGGCTCATGGGATATTCAGCGGGTCCGAGGAGTGGAGTGCAACGCACGTCCAGACAAGACATTGTTACTCCCTGGGGGGCTACTGCCTGGGCGACTATTGCCACTTTCGCGGGCGCCTGGAAAGTAGGAGGGAGGAGGAGGAGGGCGACGACGAGGACGGCGAAAAGGAGGCGGACGAGGACGAGGATAAGGATGACGGGGGGGATGAGGACGAAAACGACGAGCACGTGGTTACTCTCGCCGCCGCGCCCTTTGGTGTCCTAATGAGGTTGTGTCTTGTTACGTTCGCTGCCGCGCCCATTTAGAATCACGTTCGGGCGGGTTTCTTACCGCGCCCGATTGCTCCCGCATTGGGGTACGCCTGGCCACTCGCCCCGTTGTTCCGACTTGCGGGGGCCTCTCGATGCCTTCGCTACCGCGCCCTTGTATGTCCTCTTTGGGGGGGGACTATGATTGAATCTCGATCGCTGCCGTGCCCTGATTTCCCCACGCTGAGGTGTGCCTCGTTTCTCTCGCTGCCGCGCCCTTTCGTTTCCACGTGTGGGTGGTCCTCCAGCGGGGCCCTGTGTGCTCCCACATCCGAGTGCGTCTGCTTACACGCCTTGCCGTGCCAGGTCGTTTGAAAACTGTTGGGCGGCTGGTGCTTCTCGTTGCGTTCGCTACCCGCGCCCTTCCGTGTCCACGTTAGGGCACCTTTCCTGCAGCGCCCTTGTGCTTCCACTTCGGGAGGGTTGCCGTTACTCCCGCTGCCGCGCTCTTCTGATGCCACTTCTGCGGGCCGCGCTGCACTGCGGCTCCCTCAACATGCCCGTGCGCACGGCGCGTTCCTCACCATGGTCGCCCAGAGGCTCGGAAAGGACCGGGTGCGTCGCCGCGTAGGTGTGAATCATGGTTCTCTCTCTTTCTCTCTCTCTCTCTCTCTCTCTCTCTCTTCATTCTCTCAACATGCTCGTGCGCACGGAGCGTTCCTCACTACGGTCGCCCAGAGGCTCGGAAAGGACCAGGTGCGCCGCCGCGTAGGTGTGAATCAATGTTCTCTCTCTCTCTCTCTCTCTCTTCTCTTCCTTCTCTCTCCCTCGCTCTGTCGCACCCGCAGTCTTTGCGACTGCTGTTCCTGTCTGCACGACGCCTCGTCAGCCCCACCAGAGGCTCGGAAAGGACGGGGTGCGTCGCGGAGTAAGTGTGAATCATTGTTCTCTCTCTCTCTCTCTCTTTCTTCTCTCTCCCTCTCCCTGTCGCACCCGCAGTCTTTGCGACTGCTGTTCCTGTCTGCGCGACGCCTCGTCAGCCCCCCCATCCTTGCCTGCCCCAGCCGCCGCGTCTCGCAGGTACGGGCTTCAGGGCATACGGTTCATGCCACCCGCGGCCTGCCAGACCCATTCGATGACAGGATGCAAGCGGAAAGGGCCAAACAAAGAGCGTAGCCTCCTTCTTGTGCTTGTCCTTGCCATGACCTGCATTGGCGTGTGGAAACATGAATACCAGCTACAGCCAGCCCGTATCACAAGAATGCGCGAGGATGCAAAGGCCTTAGACGCCCATTTCGAACCATTTCGGAGCTTCTTGAGCGGGGTTTGCTAACGAAACTGGTCAAGAATGGATGGAAGGGGCAAGGATGCAAGGGTACCGTTGGGAAGGTTGTCCATCCTTACTATGCGGATTGACTGTAAGGCATTGTCTTCTGCCAGCATCTGCGTGCAAGCAATCGCGCGCGGGCGTTCGAAAACAGAGGAGCGTTACCAAATGGGATGCGTAGAAGCTGTACAAGCACGCCTTCGCCGCCCGCATAAGAGCACCAGTCCCTCCACCCGCAGGCTCGCGGAAGGACCTGAAAGTTCTCACTAAAGAAGTGTGGAGCCGACAAGACTGATGGAGCCACTCCTCTCTGAAGACTGATGGAACGATACAGCGGGTGGGGTCACCACTGATTTGGGGATCGCAACCTTCTCGAGGAACAGGACCTCCAAGAACCCCCCCGAATTCCTCGGGTCGCTCCCGATCCTCCATCCTCGAGTTCCTCCAGGAGGAGGCAATGACGCTCTGATCCTCCCTCCTCGATCCTCCTCCGAACGTCGCAGAAATTCCCCGATCCTCGGTCCTCCCTCCTCCTCGATCCCCGATCTTCAGAAGGTGGCGGTGATCCCTCCAAGAGTGCCTCCCTTTTCAGCACTGCCCGAAGGATGTGGCCGCCGCTCGTTGCCGATCGCGGGCGGGAGCCTTATAGCAGGAGCCCGGCCACAAGAGCCCTTACACAAGAAACCCAACCCTGAGGCCCCAGGACGTTCGTTGGGTTTTGGCGTGGGAGCGCCACGCCCTCCGCAGGAAACAGAAAGCCATCGACACCCAGGAGACCCAGGGCACCCTGGAGGCAAGCAGGGTGCTTCTTGGCACGGGCCTGCACTGCACACGCGTCCACGGCCTGGCGGGGCGAGGCCCCGTGGAGACGGGGCGTCGTCCCGCGGAGCTCCCGCGCGGAGCGTGCCCCTGCGACCGCGGCATCCACGCGCGATCGCGCCCCGGAAGCCAGGCCGCGAGGGCGGGCGCGCGCCCAGTGTGCAGGCCGCGAGGCCGCCGCGGGGGGGGGGCCGCCGCCGATCCAAGATTTCAGGCGAACGCTTTCGCATCCGGCGTGTCGGCATCGGGCGGAAGAGGGGGGGGGGGAGGGGGGGGGCGGCTCTGGCTGCAGACCTCTGCTTAGCGCCACTGTTTGCAATAGTGCGCCCTATACTATTCGGCTACACGCAAGAGTGGCCCTGGGCAAGAGTGACCTTTGGTGCGCGGCCCAGGGGGAGCCCTTGGACACCGCCAGGCGCGCAAGCCGCTGCTCTCATCTCGCATTCAGCGATTGAGGGGTAGGTCACGTCGGCGAAAGGTCTCTCTTACGCGTAGCCGATACATGGGGGAGACTCCACCTGCGTGAGACAGGCGCCCAAAGCAGCCAAGCTTTTCTTCATGGGGAGGGGGAGGGGGGGGTGCGAGGGCCTGCGCCGATCGGCAAAACAGTGAGCAAGAGAACGAGCACCAGCGCGGACCTTATGCCTGTGTCTCTTCACCGAGGAGCACGGCCGAGACACGACGAAGGCGCCCGCAGACCTCTTGGAGCCTCGAGCCCCGGGAGCCTATCCCCCGACGGGCTTCGGGCCATAGCTCTCCGGCCTCCAGCGGCCGCTCGGGACCAGGCAGGCAGACCATCAGAGCGCAACCCCGATCTCTTTCGCAAGCCCCCTCCGCCTCCTTCTCCCCGCTCCTCTCTCGTCCGCCTGCCCCCTATCCCGAGCCTGTGACAGAGTCATCAGCTCGTCGTTGTCATCGTCGTCGTGGTCGTCGTCGCGGTCGTCGTCGTCGTCGTCCTTCTGGGTCGACAGCACCAGTTTAAGGCTTTCAAAATTCAAGAAAACTTCATCTATCACATAGGCCCAATGAGAGTTCATTGAACATTATGTCACGACGATCACCAGCGGAAGTCGACTGAAGTAGAACGAGGCGGAAGGCGGCAGAAGGCGTGCAGAAGACAGCGGAAGTAATTGACGTCCACGTAAGTCGACGGAAGTAGACCGAGGCGGAAGACGGCGGAAGGCTTGCAGAGTACAGACGGAGTAGATGACCTCCTTTTCCGAACCCTCTACCCCCGTAGAAAACCAGCAAGAAAGTGTTCTGCCGTGGGGCCAAGCGGGACCCCGCCTAGCTTAGCAGCTCAGTCCCCTTTCGTGATATGAGATTAGTTTTGCCCGGTCAAACTCCCACCCATCAAAAATAAAAGGAAGCCAGCATCCCGGGTAGTTCACGGATCCCGCCGTGCTGGGATCGGCTTGGCGTACGATGGGGCCCATAAGTTCAAGGACTCCTGCTGCGTTGGGGCCGTCTTGAGGCCATCTTCAAGCGATGCGGGGTCACCTCAGGGTCATCTCAGGAACTCTTGGAGGTCATCGTCGGTGGTCTGAGGTCCCAGTGATACCGTTCTGGGGCTAGGGCGTCACACATTCACTGTGCGGACTTGCGAAGACTTCTCCGTTGGACTTTCAGAGCGAACTCTTGACGGAACCAAGTAACATCAAGTCCATAAACATGCACTTTCGACGATCCGCGCGGACTCCTTGGTCCTGCCCTGGGGCCCACGGGCGGCGCCTCTGGCGCCCTCCGCGCGCGAGGGAGGGGGGTCCAGCGCCGATCCAATAGATCCGCGCGGGCCTCCGAAAGTTTATGCTTCTTGCCAACCCGACTGGTGGGGGCTGTGAGATTTTGAAAGCAGGCCTCCCGACCCGCCCAGTCTACATACCGCGGCTGCCAGATCCCCAGGTCCACCGAGTATCCCCCGAGTGTCCCGCCTCGCGCCGACCCGCCCACTCTGCATACTGCGGCCGCCAGATCCCCAGGTCCACCGAGTATCCCCCGAGTGTCCAGCGTCGCGCCTTCGACGAACACGAAACAAAGCGTAACATAACACAGTATCGCAGCACAGAGCACTGCGTCAACATGGCCAACTATACGATGACATATCGGGGCACGACACATTCTAGAATAGCAGAACATAGCATGGCACAGCATCACACCGTAGACTGTGTTACAACACAGCAAAGCAGAGCATGCAATACCAGAATATGCAATGACACAATTACACGATCAGAAACTAACACACCGTGACATATCTTACCATAGCATGAGGTTGCAACACAACGCCGTACATGTAATGACAAAATGAACGCACAATGCACAGCATAGCATACCAGTACATACCACACCCGAACATACGTCATACTGTGATGGAGCCCATCATCACACAACAGAGCATAACAATACCTACCATGACGAAGCGGAGCGTACAAAACCGAGCATAACACCACATCGTATACTATATATATTAGTAGAGCAGAGCATGGCATATCACCACTGAAGAATGCATAACATAATACGGCATGACAGCACAGGGCATTCTATCACGTCACACACCATGCCATGACAGAGTGCGGTAGGACACGGTGTACAAAAGCAGGGCATAGCACAGCATACCACCATACGCTGACTTAATTTGGCAGGTATCACATAACAAAGACCCTTACCATAGCACAATATACTATACATTAACAGAAGGCATCCTACTATGCCATATCATGGCGGGGCAAAGCGTAACATAACCCATCTCCACATCACATCGCATTACACAACACGACATGCAATACCATGGTAGAGCGCAGCATGCCACATTTTCGAAAACCAGAGCAAAGTGCAAACTAGCAACATACCATACGAACGAATACCACATTAAAACATTTGAGAACATAATATCAGGACACACCATGCCAACGAATGCAATGGCAGAACGGAGCATACATAACATAGCAGAACGCCACACACCGTAACATCAACAAAAGCATAACATACCAGACCACAACATAGCATAAAAGATATCATGGTACGGCCGGCAAGGGCATCACACAGCACAAACAGCATAACATCATACCATATCGCGGCACCCCATGTTAAACGATAGCCGATCATAGTGGAGCGAACCACACGATGCCATGAAATAGCACCACATACCATACCACAGCATGGGGCATGACATAACATAACAGCGCGTAGAATGACATGACGGAGCCCAGGAGGGCACATAAAAAACAACGTAACAGAGCGAACCACCAGTGCATTACTACCTCTGCAATGAAGATAACGGACGTACCAACACAACATACACTTTAACCCACGGCATATCCGCATCTGGACCTGAGAGAACATGTGATAATACAAGGAAACAGAAATCACCGACACCCTCATACCATAACATAACTCTTTGCCTACTGATACAATTACGGCAACGAGCTTGACACAACACTTAATGCTGTATCTTGGCATCTGATGCATGCCATAGCCGAACCGAACACGAAGTGCTGAATGCTGCGATGGGTCAGTATAACATACACGGCACCATATAACGTATCACCAGACAACATTACCTGTCAGTTACATGTCATGCCAGATCCTGGCCCAACAGCAACCAATACTGGTTTACCACTGTGTCGTAACATAGCATGCCATAACATCCATGACATAACAGAGCATGCTATGTTTAAAAACGTATGTGAAACTACACCACTACAGTACTGACACCTACCATAGCTAAAAAGAGCACAGTTCACCACAGTGAAGAGCATGGGTCATCGCAGACATAAACCATGATTCGGTGTAAAGGATTCGACCAAATGATGACATAAGATAACACCATCTTATCATATAATCCGCCACCGTGCCTCTGGGCACGGAGTGTGCATGTCCTCAGGTCCTTTGCCTAATCCCTGAAGCGTCAGTCCCAGTCCCGAGGAGTCTTGCATGTGCCAGGACCCTAGACTGCCAAATTCGGAGGGGACTGTCGAGTGTCGCCTGGGCTCCCCCGCGGCGTCCCGCAGGACTTTCTCGGGCCTGGGAGGGGCCCAAGACGGACCAAGAGGGCCCCACGAGCCCCCCAAGACGGTCCAAGATGGCCTCGGGTCGCCGAAGAATCGCTCCAAGACGCCCAATAGGGCCTCAAGATGGCCCAAGAGGCATCCAGGATGCCCCAAGAGGCCTCCAAGAGGCCTTCCAAGAGGGCCCTAAGAGGCAAAAGTCATGGACTGTCCTTGAGTATCTTAACGATTTGAGCGTTTTCGTGTTTTCTGCTTTCCGACGCGCCAAGACGGCCCAAAAGGCCAACGAGACCACCCCGAAACGGCCTAAGAAGCCTCCAAGAGGGCCCTGAGACAGCCGAAGAGCGCCCCAAGACGGCCCAAGAGGCGCCCGAGACGTCCCAAGGCACGAGCCGAAAATCAGCGCCTTCCGCCCCGAGAGGTCCCCAGAAGGCCCTAAGAGGCACCCAAAAGGCCCCCCCAAGGGCCCCCAAGAGGCCCAAATGAGGCTCCACGAGGCCTCGAAGCAGCCCCCCCCAGAGGCCCCACAAGGCCCTAAAACGGCAAACGAGAGGCTTCCAAACTGCCCCCAAGAGGCCTCCGAGAGGCCTCCCGCGAGACCCCAACGGACATCCAACAGGCCTCATACCCACAACCCAGGCACGTAGGCACGTTGGCAGCATGGTCCGATGGCCATGATATAGAAGTGGATCTACCGGAGCAGAATGGCCAACATCTGATTCAGAAAAGAAAGCAAACGACCGTACACTGATGCAGTACCATAGCATAGACAATCTAGAATCTGTTCGGCGCAGATCTCTTCGCCACCACTCGCTCTTTCCGCTTCCCCCGACGTGGTGTTGCGCGCATTGCTTCAAGAGGTGCGCCCACTACCGGGGACAAGCGCCGAATGTTGTGGTGGGAATCGCCCGAAGGAAAGATCATTGCTACCAAAAACAAATCCTCGACGTTCGCCCCTCCCCTCCCCCCCGAGCCAGTCCTGGCCGTCCGGCCCCAGCGCCCGACCCCTGCGCCCGCTGCGCGCGCCGTGCCCCGCGCGATCTCTGCCGAGAGGTCCGCGCCTGGCTCTCGAGCTCGCCCAGGAGGGTCTCGGGCTCCCGCTCGGCGACCTCCCGCCCTCTCCGACCCCAGAGGCCGCACGGGGACAGCAATGAAGGAGAAATCGCTGGATGGGGGCATCCAGGGTCTGGAAAAAACGAAGGTGGTCGAATCGGGGCGTGACCCTGGAGATCACCGCCGCCCTCCTCAGATACGGAATCATCCAGGGCCTCAAGCCTGCTGGGCGCACTCCTTCGCGAGTCGTCCGGAGGAGGACGAGGAGGAGGACGAGGAGGAGGACGAGGAGGAGGAGGAGGAGGAGGAGGAGGACAAGCAAGAGGAGGAGCAGACCATGGGCAGCCGACCTATATGAGTGCGGCGCCGTGCGGGGCGCTGGCCGCAACCAGCAAGCCACTGCAAACAGTCAGCTTCCCATGGTCCATAGAGGTGGTGGGGAAAAATAGGAACCGACCGGGAGCTGCAACAAAATCCAATCCAAGAAGGTCCGCTCCGCACGAGAGGAGGCGGCGGCTGTGCCCTTCGTCTTTCTGTGCTTCAGACGCTCGACCGGGGCCGTACACACGAAACAGACCATGGGCAACCAACCCTTTCAGCAATCTCCGACGCCCACTGGGGTCACGACGTGGGGCAGACTATGACCCCCCCGAGTCGTCACCCCCCTCCTCAGAAGCTTGGGATTTCCGCGGGGACTCCTGGGATCGGCACTGGACGCCACTCCTTGGCGCGCGGAGCACGCCAGGGGCGGCGCCAGAGGCGGTGCCTGGAGGCCCCTGCGCCGATCCATGAAATTCGCCCGGAGTGTCCCCGACTTGTGGACGCCTGCGAGTACAAGAAGAGGGTCAGAAAGCAACTCACGGAAGCTTTCAGTCGTCCCGATGGCGCTCAATAGCGCGCCTATAACCGCGCACAGAGCGAGCGTAATGCATCTCCCTCGCATGTCGTTACGCAGAGCCCCAAGACAGGCCAGGTTTCAGCCGACTGAACACGCAAGGAGTACGAGCTTCTCGTGGTGGCTTCCACTCGGCAGCGAGCCTAGTGGGGAAGTAGGAGGGGGTGGGCCTTCTCAAAAGGCTCCGAAGTCCCCTGGCCCTCTGAATATGTGTCCGAAGCCCTTCCCGAAGACACGGAAAACATATCAGAAGGCGCGAGAGCTTCTCCGAAGTCCCGCTGCCTTCTGAGACTCGCCATCGCTCGGACGTCCTCTCCCCGAGCCTCCTCTCGATCTCGGGCATGTTTTTGTTGCTAGAGGATGCAGGAGGCTCCCCGATGGTCCTCGCCGAGGGTAAAAGTGCTCACCTCCGAGCGACGCCGAAGGCGAAGGCCTTCTCCTCTCGCCTCCCCCCCCTCGCCCGCCGCCGATCTCGGGGATCCTCTGGCCCGGGTCCAATCCAGACCCGGGCCAGTCAGGCCTTGCAGAATCCTGCAAGCTCGTGCGCCCAAGCCCTGGCCAATGCGATCGGGAGCGGCCAAGAGGGGGGTGTCCAAGAGGGGGGGGTGCAAATCATGACCGGCGGCATGTGCGCGGCCCAGCGGGGGGGCCAGGGACGTGGTGAAATAAGAAGGGGCGCCATGAAATCTGGGGAAAAATCATGGCCCCCGCCATGATATCCCCCCCCCCCTAGTCATCACCCCCCTCTTTTCCGCCCCCGATGCGAAAGATCCTGCAAGATCGTGCGCCCACGCCCGGGGTCAGTGCGCCCCTGGCGCCTGCAGGATCCTGCACGAGATCGGGCGCTCTGGCTGGCCCCCGCTTGCACGGACCCCCGTCTCTGGAGCCCCACCGATCCGCGTGGGGGGGGGGGGCGCCCGGGCTCCCGCTCCGCGGCCTCGGCCTCGCGCCTGCCCCCCCCCCCCCCCGCCCCTCCCCCGCGCGAGCGGGCGGCGCCCGGAGAGCGGGCAGCCGCTCCCCAGGGCCGTGCGGAGCAGGCCTGCTGGTGCTGTTGGGCTGCGAGGGAAGCGACGACAGGCAAGCTGTGGAGCAGGGACCGACCGTCCTGGCGTTCCTGTAGGCCTAGCGCGAAATTCTCTCAGAACCCCAAAAATGTTCTAAAAAACAGAAGCCGTGTTCTTAGAACACAAACCCGATGTACCAGAACAAGACAGTCCCAGAGAGAAATGTTCTAGGAACATATCGTGGAAACCGCAGAAAAGGCTCTTAGAACATTGTCTGGTGAGCCTATAGGCACGCGCCAGGACTGCCTGAAACTACAGTCGGCCCACATCAGAAGGACGCGCGAAAAGGATGCGTGGGCCTCGGACGCCCATCTCGAGGCTCTCCGAGCGGGGCGCGGCCCACGAGAGTGCCCAAGGCTGGGCCGGGGAAGGCAAGGGCGGCATGGGGTGCCCCGGGGGAAGGCTGCCCATCCTCACCGTGCGGGCTCACTGTGAGCTGCCCACGGGCGGCGAACGGATCCGCAGCCGCGCCGGGTGTCGCTCCGTGAGGGGGGCGGCACAATGCGGGGGGGGGGAGCAGGGTGCACCTCTCGGGCCCCAGAGGCCCCCGTGAGAGGGGGCGGCTCCTTTAGCAGAGGGCCCGGGGCGCCTTTTCTGCAGCCCCCGCTGCCCCCCCATTGATCGCCCCCCTGTTTGCGCGACGCCCAACCTAGAAGAACAACTGACACAAACGTCGTGTACCCAAACTTTTGGGGCTCCGCGCGGAGTTCTTTGATCCGCGCTGAAGCCCCCTCCCTGGCGCGCGGAGCGCGCCAGGGGCGGCGCTGGAGGCGCCGCTAGGGCGCCCCAGCGCAGATCCAAGAAATCCGCGCGGAGCGCCAAAGTTTGTGCCCATGGCGTTTTTTGCTGTTCGATTCTGGGGCGCGACCCCGCAGGCACGCGGGGTCGCTTGGGCACCTGCCGCGTGGAACGTCCGCGGACAAGAAAAAACGCTCAAAAACGCCCCGGAAGCTGTCTGGAGTGGAGGCCCGGATGCCCGGTCCGCGAGGCCGCGGGCACGGAAATATGTTTTTCGCCCACGAGCTGCCCGAGGCACACCGAGTAAGAAATGGACGACCTACCAGACCACCCAGGTCCCAGCCCGAAGACCCGGCCTTTGGGTCGGAGGGGGGGTACAGGTTCCCACTCGTGTTTTTCCCACGTTTCCCGACGCCCCCCCCCCCACTGTAGATTGGGGCATTCGGGTCTGGTTGGGGTGGTTTTGGACAAGCGCGTTCCACTACTCGCAAAATAACTACTCGCCAATGGTCCGGATCCGCCGAGGGGGAGTTGCGATCCATTACGTCGAGGCAGACGCTCGTTTTTAGGACCTTTTGCGAGTACGTAGGCGCTTTGCGAGTAGTGGATCGCGCTCGGTGAGGTTGGGTGGCTGGCGAGAAACCAGCCTGCCGGCGGGTGCCCCACGATGTGTTCTTAGATTTCCCCGTGGGCCCGCAGAGCCCACAGGGGCACCTCACGCAGCGCGGCATCGACGACATATGTGCCCCCAGATTTCTTGTGTTGGCAGCGAGCGAGCGGGGGAAGTGAGGAGAAGGCCTTCTCAGAAGGCGGCTGGACTCCTCAGCAGCCCTCGCACCTTCTGAGAGGTTGTTTCTGTGTCTTCGGGGACGGCTAAGAAAACTTTCGGGGACGCGCAAACATGGATTAGCGATCCATGGATTTGGCGCGCGGTCGCCAAATCCATGTATCGGGGGAGGTGCCCTCCCCAGAATGCGGCCCAGGCCGCCTCGCTCGGCGGCGGAAATCCGCGACTTCCCATGGAAGCGGGACCCATCGCTGATCCACGCCCCCTGGATCCCATGCTTGCGACCGCCGGAGACTTCTCAGAAGCCCGGGGGGACTTCCGAGACTTTTCTGAGGAGGCCCGCCCCTTCACACTTCCCCCCTCGGCTCGCCGCCGACTGCAGTTGGGGCGCTGACCTAAGGAACGATGAATATGGAACGAGGCCCCTATTCTCCATCAGTTCAACTTCGATTCCCCATCGACAACCAAAGGAAAACCTGAGGCACAGTGTAAAACAACGAAGGGACACGGGGCCCCTCCCAGACGAAAAGGGTTCCTTCTTCAGCGCCCCGACTGTATAGCACGGTGTGCATCGTAGGTGCCTTTTGCCGCCCCGGGGCGTGGCCACGCGGGTCCGCACCAGCCCGTGCCGGGGAGCCGGGTGCCCACCCTCGAGTCGGCTGCCCGCCGGGCCCTGTGAGGGCTCCAACAAGTGGCTCCCGCTCGCGCCAGGACGGCTCCGAGGGGCCCCGGGATGGCAACGTGAGACGCCCAAGGCGGCCAAGGCGGTCCGAGACGGGCCAAGACGGCACCGAGGAGTCCAAAAAGCACTCCCACGGCGGCCCTCGAAGGCCCCGGGAGGAACCCCCACGAGACTCCCCAGAGGCCTTCTTGCGCCTTCCGCGCCCCGCAGTGTCGGTCCAAGGCGGCCCCAAACCGTCCAAGAGGGCACCATGAGGCCTGCGTAAAAAGCAGGATCAAGAAAAGGAGCGACTGGAGGAGTTGAGAAGAAACATCAGGAGTGATTGGAGGCGGAGGGGGAGGAGGAAGAGGAGGAGGAGGAGGATGAGGAGGAGGAGTCGGGGGAGTGCGGAGAGGATGATGACAACGAGGAGGAGGGGGAGGAGGAGGAGGAGGAGGAGGAGGAGGAGGAGGAGGAGGAAAAAGAGGGGGAGGAGGGGCGCAAGCTAGGTGCGCTCGCGAAAATATCGGACGTCCTACCCATTTCTCCCATCCCTTACCATGGAGTAGATCTCCTCTCTATTCGCACAATCGGATGTCGTAGCATGGCATAGCATTACATGGCATAGCATGGTGTCGAAGATCAACGCGTAGCATGACATTGCATGGCTTGGCGACGCCCCAAGGTGGGGGGGTCTTCTGCGGCAGAAAAACACGAATCGGCACCGAATGTGTTATTACTTCCGATGGTTTCTTCGGGAAGCCATTTTCTAAATTTCAGCGCCTACTTGGAACGACCGAAAACCGTGCCGTGGCATGGTACTGGAAATAATGACGCCAACGCTGCAGCGGGAGCACGATTCGGAACGAGCGGAAGCGCGGAAATGAGGCCAGCGCTGCAGCGGGAGCACGATTCGGAACAACCGGTAGCCCGAAACCGAGGCCAGCGCTTCAGCGAGAGCAACATCTTGACACCAAAAACCAAGCGCGGAAGCCCAGAAATGAGGACGCGTAGCCTGACATAGCATGGCGTGGCGACGCCTCAAAGTGAGGGGGGGGGCTTCTGCGGCCCCCCTAAACAAATCGGTACCGAATGTGTAACCCACTTCCGATGGTTTTTTCGGGGTGTAATGTTCTAGATCAGCGCTGCAGCGGGAGCACGATTCGGAACGAGCGAAGCGCAGAAATGAGGGCCGCGCTGCAGCGGGACCACGATTCGGAACGAGCGGTAGCCCGAAAATAAGGCCAGCGCTTCAGCGAGAGCAGCATTTCGCAAAACAAAAAAAAGAGGACACCCAACTTCCAGGAATCCTGTGTACAAAAAACGGAAAACGAATACGCGGAGAGGGGGGCCAGGCATTGCACGGACGCCACCAGGGGAGAGAGGAGAGTAGTATTCATATTGAGTCACTGTGAAGAGGAGGAGGATGGGGAGGAAGAGGAGGAGGAGGAAGACGATGAGGAGAGAGAGGTGGAGAACGAGCAGGATGAGGAGAATGAGGGAGTGGTGAATGAGAGAAGGAGGGGAGGGGAATACGTACGGCGAGGAGGAGGGAGATCAACAAGTTTAGGCTGTCGATCCCTAATCCCTACCCCTGGACATTCACACTGGACGCACGGACCTGGAGACGCGTCAGAACTTGCTTCCAGATAGGGATTCTGGATCTGCGAAGGGATTGCGGATCCCAAAGAGGCGAGCACCGATCCCTAATACTGATCCCCTGCCCATCGTCATTATATGTACACCAGGAGCGCTCCGGGACGCCCCAAGAGGGCCCCAAAAGAGGCCAGAAGCGACCCAATAGGGCAAACGAGACAGCCTCGCGAAGGCTACAAGAAGGTCCCAAGAAGCTCCCAGAAGGGTCCAAGACGTGCTAACAATGCCAACAGACCCCCCCCCAAAAGGGGAGCTATCATTGACCCAAGAGGCCCCAACCGAAGATCCACTGAACCCAAGAAGACCTCAATAAAGCCCCAAAGCGGCACCCACAGATCTCCAAACCAGCCCCGAGCTCAGCCCGCAACTTGAACACGATCACCGAAGGCGAAATTCGCATGCTGACTTCCCTGCGGGGGGGCCTGGCGTGACTCCCGCCCTGCGGACTCAACTACAAACTTGCAAACACCTGGCCTGACGCGCAATCTTAAGTCGGGCGTGTCCCCCTACAGGGGGATTTTGGGCGAATAATGAAAAACAGTCAGAAATATTCAACAATAGTAAAACATGATCAGAAGATCGTCCCCAAACTAGTTTTTACTATTTTTGAATATTCCTCCCGTAGAGGGACACACCCGCATAAGCGCAATCTCATGACGCATGCACGCTGCAGCCAGCCGTTGCCACGAAACGAAACGAGTGGGTCCTGCTGGAAACGGGTCCCGGGCCCAGGGCCTTCCCCAGGGACCAGCGCCTTCATCCTGAGTCGTTTCTGACGGCCCTGGGGACCGAGGAGGGGGAGGAGGAGGAGGAGGAGGAGGAGGAGGAGGAGGAGGAGGAGGAGGAGGAGGGGGAGGATGAAAAGGAAGAGGAGGAGGAGGAGGAGGAGCAGGAGGAGGAGGAAGAGGAAGATGAGGAGCGGGAGGAGGAAAGGAAGGGGAGGGGGAGGGCCCCGGGAGCCCGACGACTGCGGAAACCTCCAGGACCCTTCAGGACCCCTTCCCCCCACGACAAAAGCTGCCTGCCTGGAGGCCTCCCAGGAGGGGTCGCAGTAGATGGGGTCGCTGGCTCGCGCCGCATCGCCAATACACTGCCGATGCATCGGCGATGCATCGGCACTCGGCGTGAAGAAAATCGGGCTCCACAGCGAGCCTCATCGCCGATTCGGCGATACGGCGCGACCCTCCGACCCCGCCTGCTCTGGCCCCAATCCGGGAGGCCTGGAGAACAGAAGGAGGAGGAGGAGGAGGAGGAGGAGGAGGAGGAGGATAAGGAGGAGGAGGAGGAGGAGGAAGAAGAGGAGGAGGAGGGAGGAGAGGGAGGAGGAGGAGAAGGAGAAGGAGGAGGAGGAGGAGGAGAAGGAGGAGGAGGAGAAGGGAGGAGGAGGAGAAGGAGGAGGAGGAGGAGGAGGAGAAGAAAAAGGAGGAGGGAGGAGGAGGAGGATGAGGAGTGACAAGCAAGACCCCCATTGCCCCGCCTCCGGCTCCTCGGGCACCGCGTCGAGCAGGTGTCGTGCAGTCGAGCTCCGCGAGACGGCGACGCCCATGGGGACCGACGAAGCCTCTTGGGCATGGCTTAATGGGGTGGTCATAAACGGGGGGGGGGTCAGAAACGGTCCCCTCTCGTGCCCCTCCTCCTCTTCCTCCTCGTCCTCCCCCTCCTCTCCCTCGCCCCCCCTTCCTCATCTTCCCTCTTCCTCCTCTTCCTCCCTCCCCCTCCCCTCCGAGGATGGACAGAACCCCCTTTGGTAAAACGTGGTTTGGGGAACACGACCTCGGGCCCAAACCTGGCGGGCGCAGGCCTGGAAACTGACGGCCGCGGCGCCCTCTCGAGAACCGAAGACGGACCACTCACCAATCGGCGTGTCAGCGTGGGGGTTCTGTCCACCTCCGACTCTCGGGCCCCCCGCGGAGCCCAAGGGGGCTCTCGGTCAGGCACCGTCTGGGTACCTTTTCGGACCACCTTCGCCCCCCCCCTCCCCTCCCCTATTCATGACCCCCCCATTACGCAACGCCCAAGCCTCGGCGGCCGAGACCTGCCGAGACGGTGCAGCGGAGCCCTGTCGCGACTCGTGCGATGGCAAACTCAGCCAGCCAAAGCCGCCACCGTGCCCCAGGGCACGAGTCGGAGTGTCCTCAGGCCCCTGAGGCTCCCCAGAAGCTCCAGGAGGCACCACAGCGGCTCGAACCAGGCCGCAAGAGGCCCCCAAGAGGATCCCAAAGAGACTCCCAAGCCGCCTCCAAGAGGCCCCCGAGAGGCTTACCAGGAGATCCCCACAAGGAACCTCTGACCTACAACTCAGACGCGGTGGCGGGATGGGCCCGAGGCCACTAGATACATCGAGGTAGAGAACGCTGCGGAACGCGGTTGGTAATGCCACCTCTCCGATCTGCTGGGCCCTGCCAAACCTAATGATGAGAACGATCCAACCGATGTGCAACACATAAATCACGGGCACCAGAACTCTCCGCAAATCTACGAGATACCGAGGTGATCTCTTCTGACAACCCGCATCGTGCATCTCTGTGAACCCGCAAGTTTGAATCGTGATTGCTGCCCAAGCCAACACTGGCGGAATGGCGACAAAAGTGCCGACCAATGCAAGCATCCGCCGTGACAGAAAAAGGTCGAGCCTGGTGACCAGCCACGAGCAGCTTGCAAGTACGAGCGCGAAGCACAAGGCTGGAAGGGGAGAGCTCGCCTCTGTGACCAAAATGACAAGGGTCGAATAGATGAAGGCATGAATTAATTGATTGACGCCAGCGGACATACAAACCCTCGTGTAAGCATCATATGCCTGCCAATTCGCTTGCAGCCGTCTGAAAATGCGAAAATGCTCGAGCATCCCAGCCGAGTTCGGATGGCTAGAATTTGGCTCCTGAGCTTCCCCTGTGTCAATAAGTTCTTCCATGGCATTGTTTAGGCGTTCCAGCAATGGCAATCGCAGCATGCCCTGTTGAAGGCCGATGACATCTCCGGCTTCGTACTCCGTTGCGAAGAACCTTGCTGCATCCAACTGTTGCTTGTTCGGCACAGGTAATCTCACACACTGTGTGAGTATCCTCGCGCCAAACGAATGGGCGGCAACGGATGCGTGCAAGGCAAGCCACATACCCATCACGATGTATAGTATAGCTCCCATGGTTGTCATGCCATACAGCCACAGAAGCCACTCTGGGGGAGCAATCGCCTTGGGCCTCCCTTCCGTTAGCAGAACAATGCAAAAGTTGAACATCAAAGTGTTTACCAGTAAGTAGTTGTCCATCTTACTCACTGTGAGGTTTACGAGGTCGTCTACGTCCTGGCGGTACATCTCATACTGGGCGATCCGCATGTTCTGGCCTTGGTATTCTCGTTTCTGGTTCTGCTCCCTGTCGAACATGAAACCTTCCCTGTTATAACTGAAGACCTCTCCGGCGCCCTCCATGCCGGCAAAGTCGGGCGGGGGCGGAAAGGCACAGAGTATGGAAAATACCTGGCAACCAGCCTCAACAACATCTGCCTTCTATTCTGCGCTTGAGGACACGATATCGGGCGGTGAAGATGCGGCGATGATAAAACAATAATTACCCTGGCGACGTCCCCACCCCTGCGCAATGCGGGGTAGGAGTAGCTTAGCATATTTGACGAGAAGGCGGCGACGTGACATGGACGCATATAAGTCTGCGAGCGGCATTCGGAAGGTTCGCAGGTCCCCAATCAAGGGAATAACGGTGAGTAACTAAGTGAAACCCTGAGTCACAAAAGAAGACGCAAGGTCCCAAAGGAGACAGTGGGCAAGGGGCTTGAAACGTCGGCAGCGCAACAACAACATGGCATGGCCCCCCAGGGACGGCGAGGTCCCGCTGAAGTCTGCGCGGTGCCTCACTGCGCTGGGCCCACCAGCAGCCTTCGAAAGTGGCGAGCCCACCAGCAGCCTTCGAAAGTGGCGACAATTTCCCAGATCGCAGACCCCCAAGGACGGCGAGATCTCGTTCAGCCGGTGCCTCACTCCGCTGGACCCACCAGCAGCCCTCGAAGATCGCAGCCCCCCAGGGACGAGGAGGTCTCGCTCAGATCCGCGCGGTGCCTCACACCGCTGACCCACCAGCAGCCCTCGAAAATGGCGACAATTTAGCAGATCGCAGCCCCCGAGGAACGGGGAGGTCTCGCTCAGGTCCGCGCGGTGCCTCACTCCGCTGGACCCACCAGCAGCCCTCGAAAGTGGCGACAATTTAGCAGATCGCAGCCCCCCCAGGGACGGGGAGGTCTCGCCCACATCCGCGCGGTGCCTCACTCCGCTGGACCCACCAGCAGCCCTCGAAACCGGCACCAGTTTCGAAGATCGCAGCTCCCCAAGGACGGGGAGGTCTCGTTCAGATCCGCGCGATGCCTCACACCATTGGACACATCAACAACCCTCGAACGTGAAGGCAGTTTCGCAGATCGCAGCCCCCCAAGGACGGGGAGGCCTCTTTCAGATCCGCGCGTTGCCTCACACCCCGGGACCCACCATCAACCCTCGAACGTGGCGTCAAGTTTGCAGATCGCAGCCCCCCAGGGACGAGAACGTCTCGCGCAGATGTGCGCGGTACCTCACCCCGCTGGACCCACAAGCAGCCCTCGAAAGTGGCGACAAGTTTGCAGATCGCATCCCCCCTGGGGACGGGGAGGTCTCGTTCAGATCCGCGCGGTCCCCACTCCTCCGCTGGACCCACCAGCAGCCTTCGAAAGTGGCGACAATTTAGCAGATCGCAGCCCCCCAGGGACGGGGAGGTCTCGCTCAGATCCGCGCGGTGCCTCACTCCGCTGGGCCCACCAGCAGCCCTCGAAAGTGGCGACAAGTTTGCAGATCGCAGCCCCCCAGGGACGGGGAGGTCCCGCTCAGATCCGCGCTGTGCCTCACCCCGCTGGGCCCACCAGCAGCCCTCGAAAAAGGCGACTGTTTCGCAGATCGCAGCCCCCCAGGGACGGGGAGGTCCCGTTCAGATCCGCGCGGTGCCTCACCCCGCTGGACCCACCAGCAACCCTCGAAAGTGGCGCCAATTTCGCAGATCGCAGCCCCCCCAAAGACGGGAGGTCGCGTTCAGATCCGCGCGGTCCCCACTCCTCCGCTGGACCCACCAGCAGCCCTCGAAAATGGCGACCATTTAGCAGATCGCAGCCCCCCAGGGACGGGGAGGTCCCGCTCAGATCCGCGCTGTGCCTCACCCCGCTGGGCCCACCAACAGCCCTCGAAAGTGGCGACAAGTTTCGCAGATCGCAGCCCCCCAGGGACGGGGAGGTCCCGTTTAGATCCGCGCGGTGCCTCACCCCGCTGGACCCGCCAGCAGCCTTCGAAAGTGGCGCCAATTCCGCAGATCGCAGCCCCCCCAGAGACGGGGAGGTCTCGCTCAGATCCGCGCGGTGCCTACACCGCTGGACCCACCAGCAACCCTCGAACGTGACGACACTTCCGCAGATCGCACCCCCCCATGGACGGGGAGGTCCCGCTCAGATCCGCGCGGCGCCTCACTCCAGTGGACCCACAAACAGCCCTCGAACGCGGCGACACGTTTGCAGATCGCAGCCCCCCAAAGACGGGGAGGTCTCGTTCAGATCCACGCGGTGCCTCACTCCGCTGGACCCACAAGCAGCCCTCGAAAGTGGCGACAAATTTAAAGATCGCAGCCCCCTGGGGACGGGGAGGTCTCGTTCAGATCCGCGCGGTCCCCACTCCTCCGCTGGACCCACCAGCAGCCTTCGAAAGTGGCGACTGTTTCGCAGATCGCAGCGCCCCAGGGACGGGGAGGTCTCGCTCAGATCCGCGAGGTGCCTCACTCCGCTGGGCCCACCAGCAGCCCTCGAAAGTGGCGACAAGTTTGCAGATCGCAGCCCCCAGGGACGGGGAGGTCCCGCTCAGATCCGCGCTGTGCCTCACCCCGCTGGGCCCACCAGTTGCCCTCGAAAGTGGCGACAGTTTCGAAGATCTCACCCCCAGAGACGGGAAGGTCCCGCTCAGATCCGCGCGGTGCCTCACTCCAGCGGCCCTCGAACGCGGCGACAAGTTTGCAGATCGCAGCCCCCCTCCGCTGGACCCACCAGCAGCTTTCGAAAGAGGCTACAATTTAGCAGATCGCAGCCCCCCGGGGACGGGGAAATCTCGCTCAGATCCGCGCGGTGCCTCACCGACAAGTTTGCAGATCGCAGCCCCCCAGGGACGGGGAGGTCCCGCTCAGATCCGCGCTGTGCCTCACCCCGCTGGGCCCACCAGCAGCCCTCGAAAGTGGCGGCAGTTTCGCAGATCGCAGCCCCCCAGGGACGGGGAGGTCCAGCTCAGATCCGCGCGGTGCCTCACCCCGCTGGGCCCACCAGCAGCCCTCGAAAGTGGCGGCAGTTTCGCAGATCGCAGCCCCCCAGGGACGAGGAGGTTTCGCTTAGATCCGCGCGGTGCCTCACTCCGCTGGTCCCACAAACAGCCCTCGAAAGTGGCGACAATTTAGCAGATCGCAGCCCCCCGGGGACGGGGAGGTCTCGTTCAGGTCCGCGCGGTGCTTCACTCCGCTGGAGCCACCAGCAGCCCTCGAAAGTGGCGACGAGTTTGCAGATCGCAGCCCCCCAAAACGGGGAGGTCCCGCTCAGATCCGCGAGGTGCCTCACTCCGCTGGGCCCACCAGCAGCCCTCGAAAGTGGCGGCAGTTTCGCAGATCGCAGCCCCCCAGGGACGGGGAGGTCCCGCTCAGATCCGCGCGGTGCCTCACTCCGCTGGGCCCACCAACAGCCCTCGAAATTGGAGACAATTCCGCAGATCGCAGCCCCCCAAGCAAGGCCAGAGGAAACAAGAATGAGAGGGGGCGGGAGGCGGGAGGCAGTAGGCGGGAGGCGGGAGGAGGAGGAGGAGGAGGAGGAGACGCGACCGCAGTGCTCTATTCAAAACGATAAATTAACCAAGGAGGGGTCGAACAAAAACATGACGTGGTGTCCAGACGTGGTTTGGATGCGGATGTGAGGGCAAACCTTCCGAACAAAAGGCCCACGGCACCTACGCTTCCTCGGAGCATACACGCTGGCAAGACCGAGGTGGCGTGGAGAAAAAAAGCGGAGCCTTATTCAACGAGATTAGGCGGGTGTAGAAAATCCGATGTGTCCGAACTTGGATGGCTTTCGTAAGATCCTGGACATCACGATAGCGAGAACAATCCGCCGGCCCTCTTGTGGGGCCACCAGGCTGCGGGGCGAAGGTTCGCAGTTTCCTGTACCAGTTGCAGCTTCCAGTTTCCACTGTTACAGTTCTGCTTCTTGCTGCTTACTGTTCCTTGTTACAGTTGTGCTTATTGCTGCTTACTGTTCCTTGTTGATGGACCGCGCGAGGGGGGGAGGCCCAAAACGGGCATTTTTACCAACGGGACAATTGGAATCTGGGTGCAGGGGCGAGACAAATCTCGAGACTGAGACAACGCAATGAAATCCTTACATCAGGGAAAGAAAAGCACTCGTCACATCAAGATGATGGCTGATTCAAAGATGGAAGCACACTACTGCGATGTGGTACTTCGATGCATGGCGGCGACGGTGAAAGATCGGGATTACATAGTTATAAAGCGTCCAGGTGAATTTCCAAGAAGTGCCACAGGGGAACTGGAACCCTGGCGAGACAAGAACGACATCAAGCAAACCTCCCTCAGGTTTCGTAGACCCCTCCCTGTCATCACCCCTTTGCTGCCCTTGGGTGAGCTCTTCAAGCCAGCTTACCATCGGGTGACTTTGTGACTGGACAGCTTGGCGGCCCCAGAGGCTCGCCGCCAAGGTCTCAACGAGCAGGGCCTGGAAGTCACGGGCGTGGCAGCACGTGGGTCTTCCAACGTCCGGAGAGGGATGAAGCCGAGCTGCATCTTCGGGTCTACGATCGACAGCGGGGACACCTGCGACTGGAGAGTCCCATGTACCGTGCACTTTGTTCGGCAAGTCCACCAGAACAGCGCATTGATTGGCAAGCCGCCAGTTCACGACGTAGCAGAGTCGCGCGTCGACTCCCAGCGATGGCGCAAGCTGTCAGTACTCGAGCATGCTGTGGCACCATGACGAGGCTGCGCCGCTTGACACGTCAAGGCCCATTCCCTCCGTATGGGCATGCTAGCTGAATCCATGGTTCTTCGCTGTCCGTGATATGTGGCCGCTCGCGGTCACACATCGCATGTACAATAATCAAAGTGAGAACCCGAAGCATGGGTTGGCGGGGATGCGCGTTTGTAAATGCATAGATGGCAGTTTATGAACACGCGTGCTGATCACTTGGCCGATTGTGGTGTTTCTGGAATCTTACAGCATCCAGCTGATGTTCATCGCTGGGCGAGCTCCCAGAGCTAATATGTGCCGTCTTGGTTAGGAAGCCCCTGATATCTTTCATCATCGCGCGTGTGTAAATGTAAGTCAGCCAATGAGTGAAAGCGTGAAGGGCCTGCGAGTAATGAGGCGCTGCGATCTACGCGCAGTGGGTGTTTCGAAAGCGTTGCTGTGCAATGCTGGGAATGCAAAGTTGGAGCATGCAACCTGAGATATGCAAAGTTGGGAATAGGCTATTGTATCTAAACTGGACGCCATCAACCGCGACGTCTGAGCTAAGCAACGCTTGCTCGTGTAAGATTAACAAACGGCAGG